TMMRAKACTATTTTTTCACTCTTAGGGACATACAGTAAGGGGGGATTAAAGGGAGCATATAAAGTGTTTAACATAGAAATMATTATCTGTGTGAATGATTMCTGATTGTAAAACATTTCTCTACCTTGTGCTGGAGGTGCAGGAGGTGGTGTTAGTGRGTTTGGTGAWATTCTATCTTCTGCTGTCACATCTACGAACGAGAAGACTGCTGAACTTATCTGAGGTCACAATAAATATCATTCATCCCATATGAAGCTGCTGGTGGAGCATGRATGRGCYATGCATTTCATTTTACATGCAGAATGTGCTGTGGCTACATGCTATAGTTCATGCTACTGGTGTGTACTGCTGTGTTAGGTGAAGGACAGTTTTGACTAATGACCAACTCATAGTCTAAACCATAGACTGTAAATAAATTGTCTCCACTTCCTCCCACTCTCCAGAAATGAAGTCAAAATATCCCAGATACTAATGCTGGCAATTGCACACTGGAATCAGAGTCTGCTCACAAGTGATCAGAGGAGGGAGCCACAGTATAGAGGTCCCACCAATACACACGCCTGACCAATCATGAGTCAGTTTAACCCGTCAATCATGGCGCTTGAACCCATTTTTACAGCATCAAATTAGAAATGAAAACCAAACAGCAGATCAAGATACATAAGTGTGATAAGAACCACCTGAAATGACAGAACCTAAATTATTTTGACATGTACTTTGAACATTTAGTTAGGTAGATGTCCTATCTGCTAACATGGAGGAGGCAGGGTTCATGAAACTGAAATGAAACTGTCATGTTGTCCATCTTTATAAACATGAGCATGATGAGAATTTAGGGAGAGCAGATACGTGACAGAGGAAAAGATAGCGTTTTTAAATCTGTGATATTGCTATTGGTTTTTTCATGTGTATTTAAACATACATTTAATTGTGTGGTATATCATTTACAAGAGTTGATTCCTGTGTAGCATACTTTCTCATGATGCCCATGTTAGGTAGTTCACTGTTGTCCTTGTTCAGCTGCACCCAAAGATTGATGTTCAGTAAAAATATCTCAGTATTATACCATAGGGGAGGAAACAGATAAGAAGTCTATATGCATTAAGTCATGTCATGGTCGTCGTTATCTTTGTGAGAGTGGAGACTCTCTCATCTTATCTCCGAGCAGAGACAGGAAGCCAACCCCTGACCCTAAACATATAGCATCTTTATCTAAAAATATTCTTTAAGGCCTCTCAACCATGTGTCAACATTGAATCAACACTATGCACATTTAAAATAGCAGCTTCTAAATGAGTTTGATGGCTCACTGACTTGGAATAGAGATCATTTTCCCGCTTTCATTCCCACTTCTCAGCCTGAACGTCTGTTCTCCTGTGAGAAATTAATAACTGACTGGAAGTCGCAGCTTCAATTGTCAGAGTCAGGTCGAGCAAGTTCAAGAGTAAAGCTGAACTGTAAGACTTAGAAGTTATTAAAAACCAGCGTTACTCTCCAACATTCAGCCAGGAAACGATTAAAATGTGAAGAATTCTAAACGGATTTGTTATAGCTGCACCTCTTCTGGTTCAGGAAGCTGGGGAACATGGGTAATATCCTCCATTCAGTTGTGTTTAAGTTAAGTGAAGGGGACTGTGCAGTCAGAGCTCCCTCTTGGTTTTGTTTCCACATGAAAACCACTACATGTATGGCTCCTCTCGTTCAACCTGAGATATCTGTATTCTTCAGTTTGGTTGCATGTTATCCAACATGTCTACTTGCTCACTGTGAATTTTCAGGAAATGTTCCTGTTGTATTTTAAAATGGCCTCACTCGGACATTTCACAAAATGGCTGGCAGGGAAATAACTGTCCGGAGCAACTGACTTAGACATTTGTGTTCGCCACAACTTCTCCGATGGTGATAAAAAATGATGGTGACAAATGTTTAGTGAGCTAGTTCCGGTCTCATGTCAAGTGATTTCCATGCTCCAGTGAAATGAATAGAAATAAGTGATGTGAAAATGGTCGGCAGTGTTCATTAGTAATCTGTTAAAACATGCAAAACCGTGTCATGAAAGAACTTCACTCTACAGTACAGAGGATCAACTGTAATCTGTGGATTAATAAACACATGAAAGCAGTTAAGACTTACCTTTGCATTCAGGAGTCTCAGAATCGTATTCACCACTTTCACTGCACATGGTGCTCTTGCTACCAACGAGGGTGTATCCTTCATTGCAGGTAAACTGTATGATTTCTCCATATACGGGATTGTCCTGAGAATCCCACAGGGTGATGCCGTTGGCCACTGCAGCAGGTTGCTCACACGTTACAACTGAGAAATAAACACACTCATATCATGACAGAGAAGTACACTTATAATTAACATGGTTGTTATATAACTGTGCTCAAAATCACAAATGGTTCTACCAAGCAATTCCCATACAGCAGGAATTATTTGGCCCAGATGTGACCCACAGCCTTCATGAGTTCAAATCTGGAAAACAGGCTTGGGCAGGTGTTCTGGGCAAGCTCATCCAAACCTGGGCCAGATAAAAGAAATCGGATCCGCGCCAGAATTAGGGAAGTTGGGCCAAAGAACACTGGCCCAATCCTGTTTGGCAGATGACTTGTTGATCTTTTTCTGCCATTTGTCATCCAAAATGGTTTTGATAAATATTCAATATAGTGCTGAATACGTTTCAAGAATTCCAAACTTCTACACATAAAGATAAGTATCACATTTATCTTTCAACAATTTCCCAACTGGGATCAATAAACTTCATCTAATCTAACATCGTCTTGTTTATTGTTTCAAAAAATGAGACACTTACTTTCACACTTGGCTTTTCCAATCCAGCCAGAAGCGTAGCACTTTTTGTAGCTCACTCCACTGATCTGGAATCTGACCACAGACCAAGGAAAATGAGGCAGAACTGTTTATTTCATGTGGAGTCGACGAGCCATGATTTTCTTATACAACTGAAAGGTAATTCCAAGTCTGACACTAAATTCCTCCAGTGCTTAGTCAAGTACCTTGTATCAACAACCCTCTTAGAGCCAAGTTTGTAATCAGAGAAACTATGAAGTAAGACTTTCTGGCAAAGCGTCTATTTGTCTTTCAGGACTTTTTAATTTCTTTACAGATTCCAGCTTGATATCAAACGTCTGATTGCCAGCAGCATTATAAGGTAAAGAAAAAAATCAATCTACTGATGCTGCTTTTAGACACGCCTTGAAGTGCAGACATTTTCCGAAGAGGTTGTATGTGAGGACGTCTGAGTCCGTTTCTCCAGACGTTTTTCTGCCAACACCCTCGTAAAATGTCCGTGCGAATCTACGGAAGGTAGATTCACAGAGAGTGATTGGGCCACGCCAAGTCTGAATTTGTCAATATTACATTGAAACTGCTTGAGGGAAAAATTAAGATATCAATTTCCGTTGACCCACATTCAATTATTGATATGATGATTATATGATCATGTGAAATCTGATACATTCATTCCTTCATACATGAAAAAGTTCATGTCTGAAAACAGCTGACTCCTCTGTGTTGTCACTGGAGCTGCTGGCTGTTGGACACCTTTACATTTAATACATGATGACGTAAGCAGGAACTAAATACCTTTTATGTTTCTACTCACCCTTTATCACAAAGGACTCTAACTTCAGCCCCAAACAGAGTTCCACCACTGATGTTGAAACTCATGTGAGGCTGAGGTTTGGGGGGACCACAGTCCTTCTCTGTAAAATAATAAAACAAACATCAGTGCTGTAATTAGCCACACAACAACAGAACAGAGCTGTTTGGTTGTAAATGAAGTTATAAATAAGTTAAAGATGGGACTCACTTTTACACTTCAGATCTGGTTCTGTCCAATTCCCACCAGTGCAGTTCATGACCCCAGAGCCACTTTCTTTAACTAATCCGTTGGCACACTGCAAAGTGGCATGAGAGCCTTCTGGGAAGTTATTCTTTAGAAGTGCTTCATTTGTCAAAATTATACTTTCACCTAGCTTGGGCTGGGGACAGTTGGCTGGAGGAAAATTTGAGAAAAGAGAAAATGACAATATTTTAAAATCAGGCATGATGTGAAAATGACTTGACAATCTGATTTGCGTGTGTTTGATTTGGTGAATAACTATTTTCTAGTTTAAGTTTCTATTTTTTTCCAAGTTTCAAGTTTATTTGTGTCATTCCAGCCACATCTGTAAAACGTAAAGTGAAACTAAAATATGTTTCTCGGGGCTATGTGTGCACATGCAAACATTTAAAAGACAAAACAAAAAGCACCTGTTTATAAGACAAGTGCAATTAGAGTTTAGATGAGTTAAAAATATTTTTTTTGTTCATTTTTTTAAAATTTAAAACCAGACCTCCCCTTCATAAACTGTTTCTCAGTTACTAGTGTTGTTATTGGTTAATAAATCATATATGGTTATAAATATGTCTCAGAAAAATATAATAAAAGCTACGAAAATCAACTAAAATGTAAAGGAATTCAATATCACATAAGAATAATGGCCCTGGCTAATATAGTAATTACTTACAGTAGTCTATAATATGCTGTTGATGCCATTTCTCTGTGCCATTACAAAGAAAAACCCCATGAATCATTTGCAAAGGATTAAAATACCACACATATGTAAATATTAAAGATATTATTAGTTGTAATTGCAGGAGAAGTTTTTACTCTGTTATAGTCGACAGAAGCAGCAGGATGAGATTTAAACCGGTCATGTGATCTGCTTGGTTGATAAATATTATCTCACTGCTCCAGATGTTTCACTGACCTGCAGCATTCAACACAAACAGCTGCATCACCAGCAGGTACCTCCGCCGTCCACAGGTGTCCAGCAAAAAGTCCATGTCCGGCTGCGGAGGGAGACAGAAATAAAAGAGTGATTCGGTCCCTTCTGTCCTATTTCTTCTGAATCAGAGGTCTGAGAGTCGCTCCTCAGCTCAACAGTGAGTTTCTTTAGTGCAACACAACGACACGAGCTGGTCACACTCACTTTAATACTGAGGGAGACAGGAAGTCAGAAAACGCCTCTTCACAATAATAGCAGAGACTGAAAAAGGAGGGCTGTGATCCTCCTCCTGGTTACTGCTGTAACTAGGATATCTATCTATATATATATATCTAACGCTGTTAACCCTACTGATACTTTACAGGCAGCGAATCTTTCCACCATTTCTCTATATAAACCAATGATATTATACAAGAAATTGGTTGGGTAGTAACCCGGTGTAAAAAAAGTCCATTAGATAGACCCACCCCACCTAATGGCCTAATGGATTTGGGTCAGGTACCCACACACTAATCAGTACAATATGTTCCTGTTAAGTGAGGAGAAACAGGGTAGGCGAGGCAGGAAATGACCTGGGACCCTGAGCCCCTCCCCTCGCAAGAACTGCGTATAGGGCCCCCAAGGTCCCTTTCGCCTGGGACCCCTAAAATCCTTTGAAACACCCCTGTTCATGTATTGTATCAGTAAATTTATGCCTGTGCAGGTATAAGCTTCCGTGTAGATTCACCATCTTGTTAATATTTCATTTATTTATATGTTTGTATTTATTTATTTTTACTCTGCTCTGTACATGGGCCCTGCAATACACAGACCAATATGCGAACAATAAGCGTATGATATTTGGCATTTTATAATTGACTGCTACAGATGCTATATAATAATATCTTCCTATCCATCTATCAGTCACGATCAAATGTTTTATTTTGAAAAGCTACGCATGTAGTTCCCCTTTTAAACACCTTGACATCACAGCCTTTCAACAGAAACAAACTTTGAGGTGAAGAAAACTCAGTTTGTCTTTACACATCGTCATCAAGAGGAAAAGTCAATGATAAAATCATGTCAGTGTAGTTTGAACTTGTATTTAACAAACACAGTCTCAGTTAGTTCACCAGTTACAGCAGCTCAGTAGATTTCACCTCCTGCAACAGGGGGAGATGTTTTCACTGCAGTAAAGTTCAAAACTGTGATGGGTGTGTCCTGGAAAATTTCTTCTTACTTCTGTGAGACCTCTAAAGGGGAATCCCTCATTATACTATTCTATTTTATTCTATTCTTATAAAGACACTTTTATACACCAGAAGATAATAACTCACAATAAATACATTAAGTGTCCCTGGTAAACAACAACAACAATAACAACAATAAGAAGAATAATAAGAATAAGAAAATGAAGAATAATAATACAAAGAAAAAAAATCAGAAGATGGAAAAGAAGAAGGTGAATATTTCTACGATGACAGCAAAGTTTTTAAAAAAAAGAAGAAGAATCAAACAAAACGATCATGAGGATTTTCCTTTTTTCCACAACAGTTTACATGACGTGTCTGAGTCACTTTCTGTGGTTTGGTCTATTGTCATGGATACAGTTTCTTCCCCTTTCAACAACAGGCTGAGCCTCATTACCCAACACAGAGAATTCCAAGGGGTTCACCCTTTTTTCAACCACGCAAGCTAGTAGACAGGAGACGTCAGCGTACTCCACCCAGAGTTGCCGGAGAAACCCACACATGGCAACCGTCTCTTTTTGTTTTAGCCGGTGAAGAAATACTTGAGCCAACCAAAGAAATTTGTGTTGAAAGAAGTTTTGTGTCTCACTGGTTTGGGAGGTTGTGAGTGAAACACCCCGGCTCATTCACACCGAGGTAAAGCCAATAAAGCGAGGCCTGTAAAAACACTGTGGTGCACCTCGTGTCCTTTTAAGGCATTTTAAAAAACTAGAAGGTAATTAATGCTGTTTGGTCCAAGCTATTCATCGCACTCAAAGCCTCGGAGAGTTGTTGCACATGGCCTGTGTTACTTATCTCTCCAGCACCTTATCCAAGTGTACAGTGAAGACAACTCCCTCCTCAGCAACCAGTGGAGAAGAATGCATCTGCTTCTCTTCATGTCTGATAATGAGGGGAAAGAGGTTCCACCCTTTACATCAGTATGTGTCAGTTTCTGCATTGTTCACCTGCCTTTTCTTTGGGGTCGCACATATCGAGGATGTTTCAATGGGAGAGTTATGACTTGGAATCTAATGGTATGTCAATGAAATGAGGGGAAGGTTTTATGACTCATGAGCTCTTCTTTCCTGCTGTCACAATCTATAGTTTTCACAAAAATCCTCTCCGAGTCTTCTGTTGACTTACAACTACTGACCTAACCCTCAAACAGGAAGCTACACACAACACGACCAAAGTCATTCATTTGACTGGATGATAATTATAATCTCATAGTCTCATAAATCGGATCCCCCCCTTTCTTCAAAACACTTCATTGTAGGTCAGTGACATCTTGTGGTGGAAAACATGAAGTGCATCCATATGCAAAATGACTGATGAGGGGGGTAATATGTATGATTATAAAAAATCATGTAATGCTTACACATCCTGAATTACACGTACAGTTTATCTCTGTTCTCCCAAGTATTATTTTTTATTTCTAAATCCACACATACCTCTCCCTGACGCCCTCTTTGCTTTCTTTCTTTCTTCTCTTTCACCTTTTTCCTATCATGTCTTATTCATAACAACATCTCAAACCGGGATTAGGTTTTTGGGTTTTGTTCTATTCCATTTTGTCAATTTGTTATTCAAACCATGG